GTTCTGTCCATTATCTGATTAAAAGAACTGAGGAATTCACTTCTAGGTTGAAATGACCTGTCATGGCCTAAATAGAATTCAGTGTATCAGAGTTCCTGCCTTCTCGTCAGGCCTGTCTGAGGCCTGCTTCGACGCAGTAAATCTTGTTTCTTCACAAAAACTCATTACCTTCTTCCAGAGGAGGTTAAAAAGTATTACCTGAGATTTGTCCTCAACTCTGTTCCTTTAATCACAACATAATCTTAGTCTAAAGCTTTGGCATGAAAGGTAGCAGTTTAAAGTCGAAATTCAACTAAAAACTGGCTGCAGATGGGATTGGCATGCTCTGTGTGGTAAGACCACATCAACCAGGAGAATAAAATGACTGCTGGGTGTGTACAGAGTACACAGAGAGAGGGTTTTTGTTCAGCTCTGACTAGTATTTGTGTCACCGTGTTCACTGACAGCACAGAAATACAAGCCATTATCTGCTGGCTCCAGATTCAACACGGTGAATGTTCCACTTTCAGCATCAGGCTTGGTGGCTGAGAACTTCTCAGTGCTGGAACCTTCAAAGTCATGTTCTTTTTTGCCCGTTGTTGTAAACACGATTAGTTTCATGGTTTCTCCAGGCAGCTGTCTGTACCAGTACATCTGGTAATAGGATGCACCCTTAGTGTGGCTGCAGGCTAGTGTTGCGGTGTCCCCTTGGTTTTTCCACAGTAAGGGATCCTGGTTGACATCACTTGTACCAGTTTGACCTGTTAGTTTGACAGTGGAGGTTAACTTCAGTATTTATGTATCCAGTTATGTTGTTGCATAAAGTTGTCCATTTTCAAATTAAATTAGGAACTAAAACATTTGTAAATTTCATTTACCTGAACTGCAGAGTATAATCAGTAATAATCTGAAGATGTTTTGTTTGTTCTGTGTCAGATCCATGGTGTTCAGACAGAAACTGTCAGGCTTAGATACTTTCACACACATATTAAGAAGATGTGGGAGTGTCACCACAGTTTGTGATCTGATGCTGAGAACTACTCCACACACATCAATACTCACACTTACAGTGCTGTTAGGAATAAAAATGGTCCTTTAGGTCCCCCTACAGTCCAGAACTTACTTTAGCATGCAGTAAAAAAAATAAAAAGTTTATTCAGTAACATTGTCAACCAGTCACTTTTTTGACAAAAAGTTAAAGTTAAAATGTTCAGGACAAATTATCAGATGTAGACTAAAACAAAGAAATGTTACACTTAATTTATGGGAACTTTATAATCTTACTTTTCAATGTCAATAGTTTTTTAGAACAGAAGAGAAATTTTATATAAAAAAAACTACCTTGACCTTGTTTGATGTTCTTGTCAGGTATTAAACCAAGCAAACTGGACAATCCTGATAGTTCCTCTCCAAAGACTTGCAGACAAAGGAGTAATCACTTTTRATAAAATCTGATGTTCTGTCCTGGAGGTATGTTTGATGACCACATTCACCAACAGTAGTTGGTTCAAACTTTGRATGACYTTTTGCAAAACATKAATKGTGGAACGTAGRYCTCAGTTTGCTTTGGTTCCTTCATTGTGGTGGGTKARTGGTCCACTGTGGTCAGGGTTTATTGTGAGGTTTGAGGAGTTAACTTCATGACCTTTATCAGTAGTACAGCTTTGTGCTGTTTGATACCGCCACAGTTCAGTCATGTTGAAGTGTCCCTGGGCAAAACACTGAACCCACTGCCTCTGAAGTGTGTCCTATCAGTTTATGAACTTGATCCCAAGAGTGATATTTTTATGTTATTTGCAAGYTGTTKTATGTTGTCCTACKTCTTYGTTATTTTACAAAAAATATTARTCTYCATCTTCTGTCRCTTATCTATTGTTGAGTCACAGAAGTAACAAGTCCAGGAGAGAAACCCTGACACACCTCCTTCAGGTGACACTTTCCAGCTCATCATGGGAAACCCCAAGGTGTTCCCAGGCCATTGAGGATAGGTAATGCCTCCAATGAGTCCTTGGTCTTCCACAATGCCCACTACCAGTGTAACGTGCCCAGAACACCTCTAAAGCCCTAGAATACATAAAGTCTCATTTCCCCTTACAACCTCAGAGGAGACCTCCGCTCACAGGATCAACATCTTCTTATGGTTCCCCTCAGTCGCTTTAAGACCCATGGTGACCGGTCCTTCTCCTCTGTGGCCCCCAGGCTCTGGAATGAACTCACTTTTAATCTGTGCTCCCTTGATAAAATTGTCTCTTTCAAGACAGTAAAAACACACTTTTCACTCTAGCATTTAGCTAACCATTTCACCATTACTGCCAGCCTAACTCCATAGTGAATGCTTCACTAATCAGTGTTTTCTTTACTATTGAACTTATACAATATTTTCTCTCCCACATTCATTATGTTTTTGTGTATTATTGTATATTTTTGAACTGCATTGACCTTGTGTTTGATTTACAATTTTAGAAATTTATTTCTTGATTTGATGTTTCAATTTTTCGTTGCTTATGTTTAGTTATGTTTTTCTGTTTCATTTTATTCTTTCCACCATTTTTATACTGTTAATGATTGTACAGTACCTTGTGAATATATTTCTGTGAAAGGCACTTTATAAATACAACTTTACTTACTTACTTACTTACTTACTTACTTACTTACTTACTTACTTAATTACTAAAGGGAGGCATCCAGGAGGCATCCTAATCAGCTGCTCGAACCACCTCAACTGACTCCTTTTAACGTGGAGGAGCAGCGGGTCAACTCCCCTCGATTTCTCACCCTATTTCTAAGGCCACTTCGTACTGCCCACTGAAGGTCTTGATCCAAAGTTACCAGATGAACTACATCATTCACATAAAGCAGAGATGAAACCCTGTGGTTTCCAAACCAGACACCCTCCTCTCCACAACCGCAATGTAATGTTTATTGACAGGTTCTGAAGGCAGAACCTGTCAATAAACACTACAAAGAGGCCCTGGCGGAGTCCAATCTGCACTGAGAACGACTTTGAATTTGTGCCAAGAATGTGGACACAGCTCCTGCTTTGGTTCTACAGGGACTGGATCACTCTGATTAGTAACCCAGACACTCCATACTCCTGGAGCACCCCCACAGAATGCCTCGAGGATCACAGTCATAAGCCTTCTCCAGGTCCACTAAACACATGTAACTCCCATGACCCCCTTAGTAATTCTGAAATGGTAAAGATCTGGTCCACCAATCCACAACCAGGTTGGAAGCCACAATCCAACACCCTAACATAAATTGTCCCAGGGAGGKCGAGATCCCAAAATATTTGGAACAGAGTCTCTGCTGCCCCTTTTTAAAAATGGGGAAATAGAAAGCTCACTGACAAAGTAATATAAATGTAGTTCACTTCAAAATATATTTAGAACATTAGTTACACATGTGAGCAAATATCTTTATTTTTCTCAAATCTATCTTCATAAGTTTTCTTTATTCTCCATTACTGCAGTAACTGAAGATGAGTTCAGTTGTTGTGTTTTATTAGCTGCTGTGTCACATGGTTTTAGAGGTTTCCTGCTGMTGTTCTRTTGTGTGGTTTTTGTATGAGAAAGTCACTGTCTTTATCACTGTGCATACTTGCTGCTCCAAAATATTCTCCAGTGTCGTCAGGATGTTTTAGGTCGAGGAAATGAAGATGAGCTTCTTTCTCTCCATCTCCACTCACACTGAAGCGGCTCTGAAACGGAGTCTCAACATTTGGAGTTTTATAAKACATGTAGGCTATGAGCTTCAGGGCAGTGTCTCCTGGTGAYCTCTGATACCACAGAATCGTGTCGTAGCTCGGGATTCGATGTGTCAGGCTCAGATTGATATTCTCATTGGGTTGTCTCAGAAGTTCAGCTGGAGACTGAAACACTTGTTTTTCTTTACTGAGATACACACCTGCAGAAACAAAGATATTRTACTTAAAACAAGAGAACGACAGAGATTTAATTATTTTCTTTCACCTATAAGAGATGAAAATTTTACCATTAATCCAGCTCACAGTGAGGATGCCTAAGAAAAGATGAGACGTCTGCATGTTGGATGTCAGAAACAAAGAGTCTCTGCTGTTTTGTTCTTTAGAAGGTGGAGCAGGAAATGGGCCGACTTAGAGACTGGTCGGGCAGCGGGTTTTGAGTATCGATTGGAACCGGGAATAATGTTTCAATTCTCCCTGAATCATTCAAATTTTTTTTAATTTCAATTGTTAGTTTTGATGCACCGTCTTCTGACTGGAAGAAAAATCCACCAAAAACAAAGAAAAACCCATTTTTGAGCCAATGAAGACCTAGGAGAATATGCCACCCACACACCAAGGAAAAAGGATCGGCTGGCAGCGTGTGGTGGTGATCCAAAGTGTAGCTTAATTTTATTAACAGAATAAGATTATATTCTGCAATGAGGGTGAATGACCAGCATGATAACAGACTGCTCAGGGTTCCATCTTAATTTACTTTATTCTTTACCATTATTCAACCAGTCGAATCCAGTTGAGATCACAAATCTCTTTTGAAAGGGCTGCCTAGGCCTGAAAGCAACCTATTGTACATTGTTTTGTGCTGTCAAGGTAAATCAGAGTATTGACACAAGCTCAAAGAGAACATCACACTCCCCATGGAGACTCCAGTTCAAACCAGGGATCGAACCCAGGAACTTCTTGCTGTGAGGCTTCAGTCTTATCCACTGAGCTGTTGTGTGTGTACTCTGCTTTTGCTTAGTATATCAGTCTCATAACAAAATCAAAAATACCACACACACACAGGGGTTCAGATCAAGGTATTTCTTGGAACGAGGGGAACATAGCTGTCGCTGTCCCAGTGGAATGGTTGCTGCTGATCGGGTCAGTGGTTCTTGGGGCTGGAACCTGCTCTGTTTGGCCCCGCTTTCCATTGAAGACATGGAAGATTTGTATGTATTTGGATTTAAGATAACTGGATTTCTGCTGATCGGCTGTGGCGGATTTCTGAGTTACCGGAAAATGAAAGCGATCCTGACAGAAGTCCCGGCCAGTGAGATGCTGTCAGACAAAATGGATGGAATCTGCCACTCTGAGAGCATACAGACTCAGATGCTGGGGGAGATAAGTCACAAACTGGATGTGATTCTAATGAGAATCACAGCACAGCCTCTGGAATGTAGGAGGATTACATCTGGGTGAAGCTTCAGACGGCAAGAGGCAAGGAGGACATGAAGTTCGGAACATATGTTTTTTCCCCATTTTCAGAGATGCGGTAAAGACTGAAAGCAGCAAGAAAAATTCAAGGCTGCTTGTCCCAAAACAATTGTGTTTATCTTTTTGGATCTCAAGTGCTGGCCTTTGGTTTGCACGTTATCTAAAAATTCCCCAGGAGAATACATAAACATGGGCTTGATTCCCTTCCCTCTCCCCATATCATCCGTGTGGGAGCAGTCTGAAGGCTGTGAGGAGGAAGTAAGTAAGTAAGTAAGTAAAAGTTTATTTATATAGCACCTTTCACAGACAAAGGATTTCACAAAGTGCTGTACATCCATTATCAGAAAGAAAAAGCAAAAAATTCTCATTAACTGTACAAATTATACATTCAATACATTCAATATTTAAAACAAAAACAAAAGGAGTTCAATTTATCTCTCACCCTTATAGGTGGAGGGGATGGATACTACACCGGAAAACACACATGATTGTTAGTCAGGGCTTATAAACTCAAGTTGTGGGGTGTTGAGTGTATCCAATTGAATGCTTGAGTGAAGAGGTGTGTTTTTACTTGTTTTTTAAAGGAGTCAGTGTTTTCAACAGATCTTACAGATGGGGCAGAAGGGTGTTCCACAGTCTGGGAGCCGTTGAGGAAAAGGCACAGTCACCATGGGTCTTGAAGCGAGTACGGGGGACCAAAAGAAGATTCTGGTCTTGTGAGCCCAAGTTGCGTTTGGGGTTATAAGGTGAGAGAAGACCGGAGATGTAGTTCGGCGCTTGGCCGTGTAGAGCTCTAAAAGTGAGAACCAGGATTTTGAACTTGAGTCTGAATTGTACAGGTAGCCAGTGGAGGTCTGATGATACAGGGGTGATGTGAGAGAATTTAGATGTTCTAGTTAGAAGTGTAGCAGCAGAGTTTTTAACAAGTTGGAGCCGGTTTACTTGTTTCTGATTTAAGCAAGTGAACAGGCTGTTACAGTAGTCAAGACGAGTTGAGATAAAAGCATGGATTACCATTACCAGGTCAGAGGCAGGCAGGAGGGGGTGAAGTTTAGAAATGTTACRGAGTTGAAAATAGCATGAGGTAACTAGATTTTTGACRTGTTTATCTAGTGACAGGTCTGAATCAAAAYTGACTCCCAGATTTCGAATGCTCTTTTTAACAGTCAGCCCCAGAGAGCCCAGTAKTTGTTTTGTCTGAGGGATCTTATTTTCAGGTGCCAGGATCAGAGTTTCTGTCTTGTCACGGTTAAGGAGTAGCAGGTTGTCAGAGAGCCATTTGTTTACTCACAGGATGTGATACAGTCTAAAAAAGAGATCAGCTTGTGGGGACTTGACTCATTAAAAGTATAACTGCAGGTCATCAGCGTAGAAGTGATAGGAGACATGAAAATTGTCAATGATCTGGCTTAGGGGGCAGATGTAGAGAAGAGGAAGTTGTGGCAGGTGGGAGTTGAAGATGTGTATGGGGAGGGGACGCCTGGCGAGACTAGTGAGTCACTACTGTTGAATAAGGTTTTGGGATTTTTCTTATAGTGGGTGATTGAGCAAAATAATTTGACCTGGCATCTTTCATCATGGACTGCAGTGAAAGTCCTAAATCTTTAAGGTATAGTCTGTGGATTGTGAGTTTTGATGATTTCCAGGAGGAAGGGGAAACTCTGAACTCTAGTGAACTGAGCATGAGACAGTATGATCTGGTCTCTGGACTCTGGCGGGTCTTGGATCGATTCCAGCATGGAGAATTAACCTAAAACGTCACCGGCTCCACTGAACCACTGCTCCAGTCTCGTGTTTGACCCAAAGCCTCCCCACTCCCCTATCCCAGCTGTTTTGCACTAGCAAGTTGTTTTTTTGTGTGTGCATGATTCTGTGTTTATGAGTAAATATAAGATAAGGGCAACTTTTTAAACTCACCTATCCTCTTGTTTTTTTCCAAGCTGAAAAAGGTAGCGCAACCGTGTTGCGCAAGACCTGTTCATCCGTTCTCTCCATGTTTGTCATGTATGTCTTTCTCCTGAACAGAGTGTTCTTAACTGCAATTTAATTCTGCATTGCATCTCTGATGTTGTGTGTGAATGACAATAAAGCTGATTCTGATTCTCAGATACATTCTGTGGACTATGTTTGCCTCCAAGTACATTTCATTTGAATTTATTTATTTTTTCTCTCTCTTTCATATCTGATAGTTTAAACTGAGAAGTCTTTATGGAGCTCCAGCACCATCTACTGGAAAGTCAAACAATATAGCTGGTATTACACTGTAGTATTATTGTATAAATAGATGACTTGGCTGCCAGTTTTTGTTCAGTTGTTCCTATTTCTCACATCACTGTGCTTACTGATGGCACAGAAATACACTCCACCATCATCAGGCTGTAGGTTTCTCACTGTRAGAGCTCCAGTCTCAATGGTCTCTTTGACAGCTGAGTATTTGGTTTGAGAGCTCCCGCTGTAGTCCGGCTGTCCACCAAACACTGTGTACACAACCAGGKTCATGGTCTCCCCTGGACGCTGTCTGAACCAGTACATCTGGTTGTGACCTTTATCTTTGGTGTGGCTGCAGGTCATCTCCACAGACTGGGAGACATTAATCCAGCTGATTTCAGGTTTCTGAATTACATCTTGACAATGACCTGTAGGAGGAAGATGGTTACAATGACTTGTTTCATGTATTTACAGTATAAATATTAGGTTAGGTTTATCAATTAACCAGATAAATATAACTAAAGTATAAGAAGCTATCAGAAATAAAACTACAGTCTGGTTCTTCTACCTTGTAGCCACAAARACAGAATAATAAAYGTGACAAMTATTTGAGCCATCAKAGGTTCAACAATGAGCTGCAGCCACTGATGATGTTATTGGTGAAGTCTGCTGCCATTTGAAACCAAAGCAGGAGGCTTAAAGCCATTRYTCTGAAGTAAGAACCTCCCATTCTATTTCCTGATTAAATCAGAGGAAATACCAAAATGTGTTAGAGCCCAGGTGCATGGGGCTGTGATCTGTTACACCACATTAAAACAAACTGTGATGAAGAGGTTTTTGTATTGAGGAGCAGTGTTATGAARCACTGTGAGACTGGCTGCACAGAAGTAAACTCCACTGTTGATCGGATCGACGTCTTTAATTGTTAAAGTGCAGATTTCACCTTTATTTGCTCCCCCCTCAATCTTTACATTCACTCCTTCCTCTAAATTTTCTGTGCCTACRARCATGTATCCCAGAAGCTGCATGTTTCTKTCTGATTGTTTGTACCAGAGGATTCGGTYGTAGYTGTYAMTGTTGTGAGAACACTGGATTTTAGCTTCATCTTTGGGCCATTTGTACATTTCAGCTGGACTCTGCTGGACTGTGTCACTAGTAGAAGAACCTGTGGGAGGACAAAGAGCATTAGCAAAATGATATTAAAAGTTGTATTGCTGTGAGGGCATTACCTGAGACCAAAATCAAACTAAAAGTAAAGCCAACAAAAAAGATGAACATTTTATGTTCTCCAATCATTTGATTATCATCCATTRGCAGGTATACAATCTGCAACCTTGTTTCTTTAACGTCTGCAGCTTCAGCAAACCAAGGTTTCATTATAAGCTGGGTGGTGTCAGACTGGGTCCACCTCCTGTTCCTGTCAAGTTCTCATGCTGACTTTACAGAAGTAATTTAGATTAAAGGTTTACATGAAGACATACTGCCACCCAATGAGTTTAAACAGAACAATTGTTTGTTTCTGTTTAATGAAAAGTTCTGTAAAAAATTGGATACAATTTTAGATAATTTTTTATATATATTTGCTCCATTACCTGAAATTTAAATACCTTTGAAGGTTATGCAAGTACCTGCTATTACCGTGCAATATTCCATAAATGAATTTAAAAACATTGATGCTATTTCTGTCTTACATTTTGTTTTTCCTGATGATTTATTTTGGTGAACATCTGTTTTGTAATTAGGTGGGTCCTCAATGCACAATTTCCTTCTGAAATGCCACTTTACCATGTAAATATACTGCCACCTTGTGAATAAAATTAAACTGTCAACTACAGGATTATTTTTCACTGAACTGAGTCTAAAATGTTCAGTCTAATCTGATCCCTGAAAAAGTCTGAGTCCTCCACTCCAAAACTTAGACTGCTTTGCTGTAAATATAGTATTTCACCAATAAAAAAACATATTTAATAATGCCCATTTTTTGTTGATGTTGTGTTTTTAAATCAGTTCATTTGGGTAGCACCAATTTAAAAGTCATCCCAAAGTTATGTATAAAAAGGAAACAAGTTCAATCCAGTTACACAGGTATAATGTATTTATAGCACTATATCATCATTTTTATGCATATTGTTGTAGTGGTCACCTCGAGTGAAGAAACAAGATTTACTGCCTCGAAGCAGGCCTCGGACAGGCCTGACTAGAGGACAGGAAGTCTGTTACAAACTGAACTCTATTTAGGCCATGACAGGTCATTCTAACCGGGGAAGAGAACCTATCAGTTCTCTTAATCAGATAATGGACAGAACAATCTCTTCTGTTTGTGATTCATTTGTTGTTTAACTAAGAATGTTTATGCATTTGTTAAATCATGATGACTGTCACAGGAAAAGTGGAATGACTTCTTTTCTCTTATCGTGCCTTAAAGATTTATAATGGTATAAAAAAATCACAGAGAATCTGATTACAATGTTTTCATTGTGTTTTTATGGAAATCACTGTTTTTATTTTACTGTGAACACAGTAATATAATTGTGGATTTTTCCTGAGAAAATCTTTCATTTATCTGGACTAACAGAATGGTTCAGAGCTGATTATAAACAGAAATGTTAGTTAATCATCATAAATGTTTTGCAGTGATTTCTTTTAGAGTCTATCAGAAAGAAGCTAACGAGGTTATCTTGATGTTGTTGTACAACCACAGAATTTAACCTTGACTGGCGCCTGCCTGGCAAATCTTTATCTTTCTTCCCTACCTTTCATCCCTGCACCTGAGCCTGGCTCACCTGGAAAAGAAGAATACTCATGTGCGGATGTTGTTCCTGGACTTCAGCTCAGCGTTCAACACAATCGTTCCACAGCATCTGGCAGAAAAACTGGGACACCTGGGCTTCAGTACTCCCCTGCGAAATTGGCTGCTAGACTTCCTCACCGACAGATCTCAGTCAGTCCGGATCGGACAATACACCTCCGATG